AACATTACTATGGAAAAGTATATTCTGACTTTGATCTTTGGCAAAATGTTTTGAAATATTTTGCTTAAGATTTGCTTTCCTGGAATGCGCCTGCTTCCCTCACCCTGAAGAGATTATCACGAAAATCTTTTTACTTTCATTTCTTTTAAGTTGAAGTTGCGTAAGAGCAGCCATTTACCTGCATTTTCAGTGTCAAATTGGAAGCAAGGGCAGGATGTTCACTTGTTTTTGCAGATGTGCAAAGATGATGCTGGACACAATGAACTAATGACAACTTCTAGGCCAAGATTATGTCCTGGGAAATTTATGTAATCCTTAATTACCCCAAGGTATTACTGCTGACACTGGCTGTCATGTAGATCTAAGATGCCTCAGGAACATGGCAATTCTGTATCTCATGAGCTACATCTCATCTCTGCATTTCTTAAGCTTTTTTTCTTCTGTTTAAATTTTTGCATGATAAACTAATGCTTTTCCCTTCAGTTCGTTTACACTGAGATGATGATTTCTTCATCTCCAGTGATATAAGTGGTGTTATGACTTCATGCAAAAAAAAAAAATCCTTGAGAAAGAAAATCTTTTAGTGTGTGTCCTTTTAAATAAGATCAAAAACAACTTCACCATTGTGAGAAAGAGAGAAGTCTTTTTTTTTTTTTTGAATTTCGTACTAGAATGATGGTGTCTTAAAACCGAGAACCTTATTTACATTCTTGCAGTGATAAAAATGCAGTCATCATCTGCCTATGTTGAATTCACATTGTAGTTACCCCATGGGTACTAGAGATTCCTTGATTACAAACAGAAGAGCAGTCTGTTGCGTATCTGAAGATGGATGAAAATGCAGAGCAGTCTTTCAGTAGGTAGAGGTGAGCAGTGCGTGTGTTTGTTCATTTGTTTGGATGAAGTTGGACATGGGGGGACTTGGGGCAAGAACAATTCTGTAAATGGGCATTTCCTTTAGTTTCCTGGGAGGAACAGCTGTTCCTGAGCATTCCCTGAGCATCACTGTGCTGTGTGTGATGACTTTTAATACAGATAGTGATGGCTTTTTTCTGCCAAAGGCAGACACAATTTCCATATGACGGCGGCTTTCAGGTTTCTTCTGAAATAGGAGTCATTTCACAGGATGAAAGTATACATGCTAGCAATTGAATTGTGTGTGGTTTTTTGTTTTGGTTTTACTTTTGTTCCCTTTCTTTAAAAAATGTATCTGTGGATTTGGGGCACATTCCACCTGCATCTGATTCAGAAAGCTACAAAATTAGAATTGCATTCATGCTTTGATCCACCGCTCCGAATGTCCTAAGTTGCCTCTGCTTTGCTGTACTGGAGGAATGAGTGCTTATGGATGGAAAATAGCCCATATCTCTGCATTCACAAGGGTAACTTGCTTCTGGTCACAAAACTGGTGGACAGAGGACAAGGGACGAGGTGGTAGAATAGGGAGAGCAAGGTGTCCTCTGCACCACGCAGAGGTGACAGAGACGGGGCTTTGGGGTGAACCCCCTCCTGTTTGTGGTGCCAAATCAAAATGTTTCTTTCTCTTTTTTTTTTTTGAGTACAGGTAATATGTAGGCATGAAATTACAGCAAGGCTGTCTTTTATAATTGCCAAAATAAATCAGCTCTTAAAACAGTAAACAGCAAGATGAGCACTGTAATCAAATTATTATTCAAAGCGTGCTGAAGATAACCAGAACCTAATTCCAGGAATCACTACTTTCCCCTGGTATTATTTTAAAGAATTAAAGCTGCAGAAAGTGAATATTGTGTGTTGGGTAACAGGATTAGTAGCGTATTACCTCATGAATTACATGTTCTGGCTTCGACATCTGGAGGTCGTTCTTAAAGTGCTTCTTTGTGTGATTACTGTCAACTGATTATTTTTTTTCCGAGCTACGATTGCAGAGAAGTCTCTCTTAACTACTTCACTGCGTAATGTAATATAGGAGACACCTTCAACAACTACTTAAGCACTGCAGCTGGGAAGGTCCAGTGTCTGGGGAAATGCTTGGAGATAAGTTTGCATGGTTTGGTGCTTTTTTGCTTTTCCTGTCTGTAACCTGTTTCTCTCCTGTTTCTTGGGGGAACTAAGGGTCCTTCCCAAGTAAATTGCAACTCATTCTTAATATTATTTATTTTTTATTTATTTTCAATAATACTTTTGGAGTAACACTTAAGGTCACATGTTCCATTGCTACAAACTGATAGGAAAAAGTAATTCGTATTTCTCAAAAATGCACAACCTAAGTTGAACAGCAATAATGAAAGTGCCTTCCTTTCTTGGCTTGTTTCATTAGTTAGTCTTTCCTGGGTAAGAAGGTCTTTTAGAGACTTATCCACCATGATGACCTGGAAATGTTACTAGGATGAAGCACCTCTCTTGCATGCATGTCTTTGATTTCATATGTCTAAATGACCTTATCTTCAAGCTCATTTATTCTGGAAGGTTTAGAAAAGAGCAGCTTTCACCAGTAATATATCTAGTGACTCTGTTCATAGAGAAGAGAAAGGTGAATGAAAGATGAAGTTTTCCTATCAACAGAACAGCTAATAAACTGATGCAAATAAAGCAAACACACAAAAACCTGGGAAAGGATTTAAACTTTATTAAGGAGGTGGATTCTTTCCTAGTTTGAAGAACTCTTCAGGAAAGAAAAAGCACACCAGTGGGGAGTAATATGCTAAGTTGAAATAGTTCTGTAGGTGGCACCATCCTTTAACAGGGGGGGTCTTTGTGATTTAGCCTTAAATGGTTTTACAGTTTGAAGTTTTATAGTCTCCTAGTGCCCGTAAGTAGGAGGAAACAATTTATTGGTCAGTGTAGTCTGTAAAGCAATTTTTTAATGAGAAGGAATTTCAGTATAGAACTTACTTTGTTCTTATGATGTCCAAGAAACATCTCCTAGAAAGAGCATAAGATAATATTAGGTGGTTTCTGACATTGAGGTGTCCAAGATACCAAGCTTCTACACATTTTGGCACAGTACTGAAGCTGCATTTGTGGTAATTTACATCAGATTACCAAAACCTCATTAGTGATATTGTTTAACCATTTGTGTCTCGAGTAATCTACATCACGGACACAAGTCACATAAATTCACCAGGTCATTCTAAACCTTGGCAGATGGAAACTGAAAATCCAAGGCATTGCTCTGCTCTGTGGGTTCTGCAGAACTCCCAGATACGTGTTGCAGCTGTTTGTATGTTCATGAATGTGTCTCCAGGCTTTCTCGGAAACATTCAAGCCCTGAATGTTACTTGACTGGGACGTCAAGACAGTAAATAAAGTTATAATAACAAAAATTACTTTAAAGATATAAACTGAACAGACAGTGGTGTTCTTCCCTCTACTATGCTGTTCTTTTATTTGATAACTGAGTAAAATTGAAATACCTTCGGTATCAGGAAGCAGGTAGTATGGTATTACAGGAAACATGCTATTATATCACCAGCTTCTGTCTTGCCTGGATGAATTATATTTATGGGGAAAATGAGGGCCTGAGAAGCTCACAACTAAAAGATCAGTGGCTGTAGGTAAGTTTTCATGTTATAGGGCCTTTCTCAGTGGGACCTTATTGATACTTGTTTTGATTTCTGATGAGATTTTATTAAGAAGGAAGACTTTTGAAAGAATACATGTAAACTAGATAGGGGAATCATTGTTGAATGGGGCACTGAAGTTTCTAAATAGGTCGGGGCAATTAAAATGGCTCGTATTTGTTTCTGTCCCTGGTTGAACCCTACCTTGGGACCTGTAGGGGTGGCTCATCGAAATGCTGTAGAATAGAAGAGGAAGTGCCACAAGGACCCGATTGGTAGCGTGGTCACCATCTTTCAGGCAGGGATGTGCAGCTTTTCTGCCTCATCTCTTTTTAGCCTCTTCAATACAGTCCTTCAGTTAAAAAAAAACGCAGAACACTTTTTATGCAAGTGATGCCAGTTGGGAGCCCAGTAAGGATCACTGTCTGGGACTGGGGCAAGGATAAACTATTAGGAATTACTGTACAGTTGCAGAATGGAGAATTTGCCGATTCAGCTCTTGCAGAACTGTATAGTTTTGGTAGGAATGCATGTAGCGTTCTTACACGACTCTTCCTTAAGACCTTTGCTGATGTTATTTTGCCAATATTTCCAAATGGGTCTGTGAGATTGACAGAACCATCTTACATTCTATGGACCAGCAACAAATTATCTTACTTTTTTTTAAAAAAAAAAAAAAAAAGTTAAGAGAATGTTGGTTTAATTAAATTATACTGCTTCAAAAACAAAGAGCACAGCTGCAATGTGACAAATGTACTGTGCTAAAGCTAGAGGGGAATCTTCATCTGTCCTTGAAATTAAGATCAAATTTCTAATTTAATTTAAACTGCAGGATGAAATCTATGGTAGCTATTGGCCTGGATATGATTTCTCTGCAGCTTTATATAAGTATATAAATTCAGTTGACTGACTCTTGATTTCGGTCCTTATAGAGAGTAATATAGCTCAAATTTCTGAATAAAAGATTACTATGTCAATTAAAAAATTAGAATCCATTTCAGAATTTCCTGAAAAGCTTTTTCTAGTTTCATGCAGTTTTTTCAAATGAGAACCATGCTGGAAGTATGCCAATATTGTTTGTACTTTTTTCAGAAGAGCTAATCATTATCCATGTTAAATGATGCCACCTGTTAAAAGCAGAATGATAAAAACCCCTTCTTGAAGCATGAAATATGAATTAATTCCATCTCTGTGTTTCAGAAATATTTCTGCAGAAGAGGATAATTAAGCAGAGAAAATGAGTGCATTTAAGAGTATACAATGTCTGGCTCATATTTTCAGGATCACTGGTGATTCTCATGTTCATTTCATGAGGAATCTGTCCCATCTGTGCAGTTCTGATCCATTCCTTGTTGTAGCTGAGCACTAACATCTTATCCTGGAGACTGAGCATAAGAAAATAGGGCTTTGAAGGAGATGGACAATACTCTAATGCACTGTCACTCTTTTGTTTTTCAGAATCCTCCAGCCATACCACAAGAACAATAATGGTGAGTATAGAGGAGTTACAAGTACAGGTCTATCTATGCAGCTGAGATTTTCTTTGGAAAGAAAGTGCACAGTGTAGTATTCAAGACAGCTGGCACGCTTTCTTGTACAATATGGAGAGATAAAATGAGTCTGTCTGCCACCACATTTCATGGAAAACTTTGGGGAAAAGAATGTGAGACTGAATAACTTAAGAAATGATAGTGCTGTGGGTTTGAGCGCAATAACATCCACTTACAGTTACAATTCAGTATATTTTTGTTTAAATAATTGTAGTTATTATGTTCATAATATCTCTTGCATTTTATATTTATCACATGTTTCAGAGCACAGTTCAGAACATCTGCTGGGTAATTACTTGTGTCACAGTCCTGTAAGGCTGGTTTCTGAATTTACCTGGAGTTTAATAACTTGAGTTTTAGAAGCAGAGAAATATTAAAAGATAGATACATTTTCAAAAATGTGATTAAAACCTTCCATGCAAAAATATGCCATAGTTTTAGAGTCTATCTTGGGTTTTTTATAGGGTGAGAAACTGCAACACTTTCTGTTTCAAACTGGCATTAGAAGCTGGGTAACAGCCAAAAAATATTCACATAAAGAAAATTCTCTGACTAGGAATGATTTGTGCCCATCTTGTGGGGATTCGCCCTCCCTACGCTCCCTATTAAGTGTCCTACCAAAATATGGCTAAACTTTAGAGAGATAAGAAAAAGGATTTTTAAATAACTTGAGGTTTTTGAGGCTCTTCAGTCGTCAGCCCAGAACACCCTGCTGACAACCCTGGGGCAGGTTGCCTGGGCTCATGCTCTGCAGTCAATGTCCTTGCCTTTAAATCAATACAAGTACAATTAAGAACAAATATGCTGTGAAGATGCTGTGAAGATGTCCTGTCCTCTCTGCAATCAAAACGTAGCTGGGTGTGTAATGGAACATTTCTTACTCATCTGTGCGTAGGGAGAACACTTTCCCATCAAGAAAGCCAGAAAATACATATTATTCAATGCATTAGAAATAATATGAGAATATGCAGTACAGTAAAGTGCAGGCATCTTAAAGTGACACTGTTGAGATACATTTTTGAATGAATACTGCAATAAGTAAGCAATTATTTTAAAATAAATTCCACTTTTTTTCTGACTGATTATGGTATCTGTGAAAGCTGATATAAAGTTAGTCTTTAGTCATATAGAATGAGAGCAGCAAATCTGTACACTGCCTCAGCTGCTTTGTGGTGAAAAAGCTTTTGTCTCCAGAACAAAGCAATTGAAATGCTTTCACGTTACATTTATAGGCGGTGAAATAACATAAGTAAGACATTATACCTTTGGAGAAAAGGCCAGGTTTAAGATTTATGTTTAAATCAGAGTCAGTGAGGAAAACAGTCTAACAGTCTGCTTTGCTTTGGAAAAAGAAGTGCTATTTTTTTTTTCCTGAGAACATTATATTTATTTTTACCTTTATTTTTTTTAATCTCCAAGTAATTCTGCTTTTGTATTTAAATATGACAGTGATGGCTCTCTTCTTTTAGTTTCCTGTTCATAAGAAATCATAAGCGAGGCGTGTGTCTGTGTATATTAGTGTGTGTTGGGGTAGGTGGGGAGGGGGGCAGTCTTCTAAATTTTGAGGATAAAATAGATTTCCTGTTATTCTGCAGATAAACATCTGAGTTACTCTTTCATTACTTACTGGTACAAGGATTGCCAATAAATATTTACTGCAAAATGCTGCCTTTAAAGACATAGTTTATCCAGCAGTTATAAAGCTTGTGCAGCCTTCATGAAATGACAGAACCTAGAAACATTGTAGTGTTTTAGCAATGATGACTTGGGAAGTCAACAGTATTTTAGTTTTTGCATGTGCAGAGAAGTATTTGACTCGAATTTTCGTCGTGATAACTGCCCTGTGTATTTCGTGCTGAACTGAACAGGTCAGTATGGTTTGAGGCACGGAGCAGTGGTGATTCACCCCTGGTGTGTGGGATCCTGATCCTAGCAGTTTAGGGGCAAGTCAAAATTAAAACATGGTCCCTAACGCTGGAGAAAAAAGATCTTGTTTTCCCTTATCTTTAAGTGCAATAGAATTAATTTCTTCAAGTAACTTAAAAGCACTGAGGCAAAAGGGGAGGGGAAAAAAGGAAAACTAATCCTTATGATGCAATGGGAATGAACTGATATTGTAACCCTTACACTATTTTATATAATGTTATATCTTGCCTGAAATAATGAGTTCTGTTCTAATAAAAGCAGAGAAAACAGAAGTTCAGAACTAATAATGACATCCATCTCTGCCAAGGGAAAAAGTATTATAACAACTTTTTCTTCCATGAGGCTCAGCTGTTTTTCAGAATTTGTGCCATAGGAAATGCACTGTACCTCGTGTGTTTCCTGAACGTGTTTTGCCAGTGATCACATATATCTTGAATAAAGGAAACATTCAGTTGTGTATTAGAAAGGAACCTGGAAAAAGAATAAAGCCATCGTATTTGAGAACTTAAACCCATTTCGGACTGGGGAAGCACAGGAAAAAAAAATTCCTTTGGAGACTTGAGTGTTCTTCTATAATATATAGTACTGTCCATCGCTAAGCAAAAATAAATCTAATGGCAGTCCTATAAAATCTGATCTGATTTCCATTCATATATTTTTAAAAATATTATCCACACCAGGAGCTCATCAGCTGAAGGCCTGTACGAGTTTCTAATTTAATCCAAACAATGTATTTTATCATGAAGTTACTCTAAATAACAGCTGAGTTGCTTCTGTTAGTCTGCCCTTTCCTTCTGCCTCCCCACCAAAACAAACACACAAAAAAACAAACCATCAAAACCAAACTGCAATCTAGGCACTTAAGGAAAACATGGAAAAAAATAAGCAAATGCTTAAAGGACTGTAGTGGAAGATTTATGTTCCTAACTATGTGCAGCAGCAACTGATTTCACCATAAACCTTATTTGTCTGTGAGATAAAGGAAGATAATTTAAGTCTAAGAAAGTTCTCTCTGACTCATTCAAATTTGACGTCTTGTCACCCTTTCTATTGTTGCATGTGTTTTTGCATCAAGTCTAAGGAGTCATAGTGGAATGTTCAGGTATTTGCTCAGGTTTTTTTCAGTTAAAATACTGAACACTAACATTTTTTCCTTCAATGTTTAAAATTTGTCCTGCTGGAAGGGAGCAAGTGGTCTGGATTTAGGGTATCTTGAAAGTTGCAACATAATGTGAATATAATGCTTGGAATATGAGTGTAAGAATTTATGGGGAGAAACAAGGATATTCTGTTTTTGGCTGTTATATTTTCCTCATATGATTTGAGAGATCAGTTTTGACTTCTCTTCTGCTATTTTTGTGTGTGTGACCAGCCTTTCCTAAGTTTTTTCTCTACTTTGAGGCTACTCATGTGACTGTGCAGAACTGTGCCAATTTTGTGAGCTTTTAAAGATGCTATCCCTAATGGATAGTACTTTGTATTTTTTTCACCAAGAATAATACTTCTCCCTAATAAAATGTGATGATGAATGCATGGTAGATAAAGTAAGCAGAACTACACTACCCATACTATATGCTACCTTATAGCATGTCTGTTTGGATCAAACAGTGTTATTTATAAATCCTGGTAGTAATTGTCCATTATGTCCATTTTGTTTTGTATCAAACAAAACTCTTATTTCCAATATTAATATATGCTTGGCGAGGTATACTTTCAAAATGCAACCTATAGGCCACAAAGAAAATGATATTTTTACTCTCTACACTTATGCCTATGAGAAAGCAGCCTCTCTCTTTAGATCTAAGTACTTAGTATCTCTAAGGCTTGTTGTACAATTATTCCAGGTTAAGATTTAGTGGGAATTAATGCATCATTTCATGTTTAATACTATCTGTATTAAAATAAAGGCAGCAGTACTGCAGTCCTCTCTCATATATGATGACTTGTGAGTGAACTTAAGAAACATAGTGACATCAAGGTAATATAAACATTTGTTATCCTCCTTCCGTCTAAGTTAGCAGCAGGACCAGCCCATTTGTCTTATACTGGTTTGGGTTGTTTTTATTAAAACACGAAGTCAGAGAGACCGAGAACCCCAGAAGTGAGAGCTGTGGATTTCTTTGTAATTACTGTTTTTTTTTGAATGATTTTATGTAGGCTGCCCTTAACAGCAGAATTGGTTGACAGATTTATGCTCAATCTCAGGTAAATATTTCTCCCGTTTTTTGTTATGATTTCAGCATGCTGCTCCCCACGTTCATATGACCAACGGTAAGGCCTTGCAAGCCAGTGCAAGTGCCTTTAAGGCAAGCACGATTCCAGTGATCAAGAGACAGAGGCAAAACTGGCTCGATGCTTCAGATGATGGTTTCTTTATAGCTACAGAAGAGACCAGGTAAGCAAAATGGAAGTTAAGCAGAGATAAGGCTTCACTGTGTGTTTTTGATCCATTATTTGAATACAGCTTTTGTCATAATTACTTGAAATTGTATTGCAATGAAGAGCAACGGTGCATCAAAATATACACACAAATTTGCATCTCTAGTACTAATATTATCAGCTTTACACCAGCAACCCTTGTCTAGTTAGGGCATCTATCTGTGGAAAAGTTTAGAGCTTTTTAATTGTTGCTAATTGTAGATCTTATTCAATGAAATTTTAAGGCCCCTCCGATCATTCAACAAAACCTAAATGAATCTGCAGCACAGGCTCCCACTCTAAAACTTTCAGAATTTAAGCTTCCATATATGCAGTGGACAATAAAGGAAAGTACAGCAGATAGCATCTCTTCCAGGTTATACTTCTTTTATTAAAAAAAAAAAAAAGAAAAAAAAAAAAAGATGGTCTCTCTCATTTTGTTATTTAGAGATTAACTGGTAGAATTTAATGGACTCCTGTTTTTCCCAAAAGAGTTTGATACCCCCAGAAGAGTCACTGGCTTTATGGAGGCCACTGTTTTCCTTTCTTTATCTGTTAAGACCTGATCATGCCCCTGATTAAAAAATCCGACTAAGACAGGCTGTTCTTGTAACCTGTGGTTATGAGGTTACAAATGGCACATTATTTAAAACCCTTCGTAATCTTGCTTAACTTAAAGCAAGAGGATTATTATGACAAGTAGCACCAGGCTGCTCTTCAATTGTGTGATTATTTCCCAAGCCTGGAAAGGTTGGTCATTGAATAGAAATGTCCATAGTAAAATGAGGGAAGAGGAGTAGTGTAAGCCAACATGCACATTTCCTTGGTTAATTCTCTATTTATTTCAGTTTATGGTAAATGCTGTTAGGGAAGTTAAAACACTAGAATGTGACAATTCGGTGGGTATCTCAAGACCAAATAAATATGGCCCTCTTTTATTTTTAAATGAGCAATTCAAATATTCAAAGAAATCAGAGAAATTGCTGAGAGGATGTGCTGATAGGATTAGACTTGTGCATCACATCTAGCCCAGATTACCAGTAGTCACTATTTTGAGAATTGTTTGATAGCCTCTATACAAAGAGTAGTAATATCAAATTAATCCCTCATGGCTCTTCTATCTAAAAGTGAGCCTGCTAACCTAAGCCACTGGTTTAAAAATCAATAATTTTGAGGGTTTTTTTATAGAATATAGAGAGGTGCCTGTCAAAGGTTGAGATGAGCCCAAGATGTCTCTCTCCTGACTGATCTCAGAGGTAGCTTAAATGACTGGTTTAGATGTTTTTATTTTGAACCATTGTGAGATGACTTTTTTCTCTTTGAAAATATTCATGCTTGGCAGCCTTGTCAGTGCCCGATCTCACAAATCCCCTGTGCTCACCTGTGGTCACCATTCCCAGACAGGGTGGAGGTGCGGCAGCAACGTGAGAACTTGCACTGGCTCCATCTCTACTCCGAATCTTTAAAAATATAATGACTGACTTGAAATGCCTTTGTGCCTTAAGGCACTAGACCTCGATGACAGCCCTTCATGAAAGGTGATCGTTATAAAACGGACACCTGTGCCCATGCTGAAGAAGTGCCACGGGGCACACTCAGGGACGAACAACCCTAGTTAGGCTGGCCCTCAGTCTGGCAGGAGCTAACACTGTAATTCCGTGCAAGTTCAGTTCTTCCTTTTGGGATAGCAGCACAGAAGGTGTAATAGTGCCCAATTCTTACCTGTCTTCAAAACAGCAACTTTTTATCCCTTGAAAGACCATTTCACCCAAGATCTGATCCTTCTCTCTCCCAGGTCTTTTACTTTTTTCCCATCCCAGTTGATTCCTTCCCAACCTCAGGGTCACTTTCTCCTTTCATACCTTTTACTTTGAGCCTTTGCTTCCCTCCACTCATATTCCAAGATTTTCTCTCTCCTGTTAGCTCTCACTTGCCTCCCACCATCACAGTTGAAGTGGAAAGCACTACCCCCATGATGGTTTGGCTGTTAGGACATGGTGACAGCTGAATGGGGGAAACAGGAAGCAATAGGCTAATGCATTAGTCCCTTACGTGCCTTTAATGACAGAAGTCAACCTGTCCCTTATAGAAGCACACACAGGCACATATAGCCATGCATGGCCATGGCAGGTTTGACTGCAGCATGACAGCAGCAGGAAGAGATATCTGAGGAGAAAGGGGCTTTGAGGAAACAACACAAATTTATCCTCTCCTGCTATAACTAGACAAGAAATTGTTGCCAGTTTGCAGCCATTAGGTGTTTCAATATGTGCTGAACGCGCAGCACAGGAATAATCACCCCATTCAAGTCAAGGCAGTAACTTGCGCTTTAAGCCACATGTTTACAGATTGTGCTGCATTAGGATCCTCTCTGTTTTATAATACATATTTACTCATTAAAAATACATATTAAAAAAAAGCTAATTGCTAACAGCCTACAAAAGGAAAAATATTGGCATATAATGTTTTGTTTACAATTACAGACAATAATATTTTATTTCTCTATCCTAAGGCATTTTTGTTTGTACAGTGAATTAAAGCTTGTGATGCATAGTTCTACAAAATATCAGAAAGGGAGTCTAGAGGATAAATTCTGTCAGTTGTTTACCTAAAAAATCATGCTGCGTTAGTTGGTTGATACTATCTGAGAAAATAATGAGATAGGGCTGCCAAACTACATGCACTGCTAGGCTGTTTCATGCTAGCCAACCTATCTCTTTTCCTCTCCCGAGTCTACATTTTATTACCTATCAGTAGCTGAGTATATGTATTTGTGCCTATTGTCCTATTTTAGAAGAGATTTTAAAAAATTATTATCTTCCCTAGGATGCACCTTATTAAGTCGTAATGTGCGTCCTCACACATTTAAAAGCTGCTTAACCTGTAAGCAGGTTCCCCCCTGTGGTGCATGAGCGCTCGCACCCCGGCGGCCATGTCAGCACAGCTCCCCTTAGCGCTCCCTGGGCTGCAGGCCCGGAGGCCTCCAGGTGCCCGGCCAGCACAGAGCTGGGTCCCTGGTGGCCCCTGGCCAGCTCAGCAATGGGCAGAGCCACCTTGTGCCTGCCCGTGTATGGATCCACACGTGGGTCATTCCTGAACGCCCCTCGCCACGCTCAGGAAGCGGCAGCCGCGCGAGTCCTGCTCCCTTGGGCCGCAGGGCCCGCGCGGGGCCTGGTCTGCACCACGAGAACAGGCGGCGCTTCAGGCGACGCTTCGGTTGACATTACACCATAATGTGGTGTTAAACTCTGCTGCTTTTAACGTTTTTGTGTAGTTCTCTTTTCTCACCCTTTTTGAATGAAATTCAAATCCTTATTGTGAAATAGCTTGCTCAATATTTTATTCCAAAGTGCAAAATCTGTTTACATAATTCATTGCGAAATCACTCTTTAAAGAGCCTTACATTTATTACTACTTGTCAAGGGAGTCTCCTTATATATATATATATATATACATACACACATATATATATATATATATATGTATGTATTTATGAGATGCTCAGATTTTTCTAGCACTATGCGTATGATATGTATAATCAACAAAATGTCTCAAAACTCTAAAAGGATTTTGTTCAGGGGCATTATACTAAATCACTTTTGCTACAACCCTTCTTGGGCTTTATTCCTCCTTTGTTGAATAGGTATAGTGCTTATTCTGTTGTAGACTCCATTGGAAGTTAGTGCTGGAATGACTGCATTATGTGACTCTTCATACCATATTACCATTTTGGGACTTACTAATGGTGTAAATAGGACAGTTTCTATTACGATACCCAGCTGTTTAATAAAAATGTAATATATCAGCTTAATATCTGTTGAATTATATGGGGCATAATTATAATCTGTGAAGAAAATTATAATAATATAGTTGTTGGTTATCATGGAAAATGTGTCTGCTGCTTAAAACTTTACTTCCCAATTCTAGGTATGCTATGGGCATACATTTCCTATATATGTGTTCCATCCATAAAAGCAAATCTGTGCGTGATCATATTTGTTTAGGGGCATCTAGACATTGTGTGGAAAATTACATTTTCTTCAGCATTTGCGTTATAAGAAATATATGAAAATGTTTGGCTGAATGGGTTATAGCAGCAGATTCCATATGCTTTCCCTTCATGGGCCAAAAAGCATATTTGCATGTAGAACTACTGTTGAATGACTCGATGCTTGTTTCCTTTCAGTGCTGAAGCAGTTAGAAACCTTCTCACGGTAAGTGCAACCCCATTGGGAATGAGTTAACTACAACTGTTAAAATTAGAACATGATCTTCAGTTGTTAACAGCAGACTTTGCTTCCTTTTTGCTGATAATTTACTTGAGAGGCATCCCTGAGGCAGTATTATATAGGCAATTTTCCTATTCTTCACATAATGTTCTTTCTCCCAAATAAAAAGCTTCCCTTGGTTTGCTGATATACTGTATAAGGATTTCACAATTGCAGTGATACAACTCGTTTTTACTTATGCATGTGAGCAAAAGCACAAAAAGATTAAAACCAAAGTTGCATGTTGAGAAACGGAGAGGATGCAAGGCTGATGCACAACTTTAGCAAAACGTTGAGTCTTGCTTTGCCACGTGTGGTCGGGTTCCCTTGCAGAGCCGGGAGAGACCAATTGCAAAGCTGACACTAGTGCCTAAGGGCTGTACCAGGGCAAAGCCTAACGTGCACCTTTAAAAGTCAGGCAAAGCGAAATCACGTAAGTGGTGCCCATATTGTCTATATGCTGCCATGGTCCCTTCTCCCTCCCACACGTGTTTTAGTCTATGCTTAAAAGAGGTCAGCTCCAGTGTTTGAGTTACCTTGTGTGGCTTGTTGCTGGGATAAAGAAAAAAGCCAAGGAGTAAGGCCCCAGTGCTTAGGGCCCATATTATAGCGTGTAGATGCAGGTGTAGATCAAAGTCAGAATTCCAGTGCTAATTTATTGCTTCTTCTGCTTCACAAATGCAATTTCATACCACAGAAATCCTCATCACCATTTTTTTAATGTGTGCTCAACTGAGCACAAAAAATTGTGCACCTGTTTTTAACCTACACTCAGAGATGACCTCTGCTTTTCACAAAAATGAGGCAATTTGATTTGAATTTTGACCCTGTTTTTGAACCATATTTGGACATAGTGCATTTTCATGCCTTATTTGCATGGAATGGTGACCACTAGACCCTGATGCTGCAATGACTTGCATGAAGATGCACGGCTGTGCTCTTGGAGAATCGACTGTGTGCTTGAGAATGCTATACACCGACTACTACCCTCTAATCAAAAAACAAAACAAAAAAGCAATCTCTAATGATGTACTTTTCTGGTTCCTTTACTTCTGCCATATTATATAGTTGTCACACCCCTCAAAAAGTGGGATTATAGAATTACAATGTATCCCTTAGAATTATGTCTAATTCTCATTGATAGGATTATACATATCTCATTCATTGGCTGCAGCTGAGCACAGTTGAGCTCCCAATCATCTCTAGTCACTGTGACAATACTGCAGATTGGAAATTCGAGGAGGAGCTCTCCTTGCTTCTGTTTAGGCGCAGTCCCACTTGGCTAACTGGTGTTCAAGATCTTATAAATTCATCGGAGTGAAAATACATAATCTGATGTTGCTGTGGACTGTTATTTTGACCTTATTTGCTCTTTAGCATAGACTACTCTTGAATGCCATGCATTGTTCATGCTTTATAAATTGCAGTTCTTCCCTGAGCTTACTGTGATGCAGAACCACAACCAGCAGTGCAGAAGCTGCATCATAACCTCTTGTCGTTTGTTCTTCACTGAATAGTTTTCCTGCATAGTTTTCTTTCACTATCATTTATATCTGTTATTCCTCTGTAACACTGATATGATGATGCTAAAGATTTTTTGCTTTTAAAAGCAGGAACACTTCTTGAAAATATAATCAAATTGAGCTAAATGTGCAAGATTTTGCCTTTTACATGTAAAAGAATAGTAGATATATATTTGAAAACAATCCCAGAACAGGAGCATTTCACCTACTCTCATTTAAAACTTTGATAATCAGTTCAGTATAATTTATGCCACTGGTTAGAGCTAGTAGGATTAAAGTGTAGATGATGATACAAATTTTGCTTTCTTTTAGTCTCTAGAACAAATGAAATACAATCTTTTTGGTTTGGAGATATGTATTAACCCTCTTGTAGTTTAAGATGAAGTTTCAGTATGAAGCTACTCACCCTGAAGCTATGTGGTAAGGGAAGCCACATGATAAGCTAGATAAGCACTTGGAGAATCTCAATCCAATTCCCTGCTCTGTCACAGATTCCTGCGAGAATTCCGGTAGGTCTTTTATGGCCATGTCTCAAAGACCTATTTCCTAATATCAAAATGAGCAAAAATGCTTTTTTTTTGAGGATTTGGGGATGATTCTTTATGTGCCTCTGTTGCCTGTCTGAAGGAGCAGATTAGTAATGATTTGTTCTTTTAGAGGGGTATTGTGCACAAAGCAGCTCAGAAGTCTTATAGTGGAGTCTTCTTTTAGAGAGCACTTCTTACCCTTACTGGTATTAAAATCTCAGGGAAATGCAGTCTGCAGGAGTCCAAAAGTTACTCACTGGAGCTGGCTGATCTGTTGGTTTGAGGTGTCCTCACTTAGTAGCAGGTGAAAATGAATTACTTCTCAGCTTCTAACTCAAGGCGGTCAGACTGAACCTAGGAGCAGATGGTGGCAAATGACTTAGTTACTGCTCCCTTGAAGGTCACCCAGCTGAATCCTGCACAGTGGTCTGGTAGGAGTCTCCTGGTGCAGACTGCTGCGCAGTGTCTGAGGACGCAGTGTCTTGGAGCTTGGATGTGGTTAGTTCACGTGAGCGGGCTCCACTTTCAGCAATGATGTTCCTTGACCGTTTTCAATGATGACTTGTAATTGCAAGAAGTATTTCACATTCAGCAATTGCAGAGGTAGTCAGAGCATCTTGTATCTGGAAAGGGAAATGTAATTTCTGAAATGAGACTATTTGCAAAATTGCATTGCCATGGGAAATTTGCAAAATATGAATTCAGACTTAAATGAGAAACAGTGAAGCACCTGTATAAATACTTAAATTTTCCCAAAACCTCATTCACATTGTTAGACGTTCCAGGTACTGCTCAGCAAAGCTTTTAGATGCATGTCCCACTGAGTTTAGTCAGTCAGAGTATGAAGGAAATTCAGTAATACACTTGATATGTCAAGTGTTAAATTAGGTTATCACACAATTCTTCTTTTAACCAGTTTTCTTATTAGTTGTAGCCAAACTTTGATTTTCCTGCAGTCAGTATAGCTGACCACTTCAAAAGGTTTTCCTTCAGAAGCTGTCTTTTGTGTTTGTGCAAAGGATTTGATGTAGCTGCACCCAATCCTCTTTACTGGATGTTTTACCTAAAGGTCTTAGGGATGAGCAGCATGTGTAAGCTCGCTACCCAGCTTTTTGCTAAACCCAAATTCCCAGTAGGAATGTGTCAGCTTGTAATTCTTTGTCATCTTTTAATGTTAAAAGCAATTTTGTTTTGAAAAATAAGAAATTTTGACAATAATGAAACATCTGTGTATATGAAGCCAATTTCTCTATTAAAGGGCTTGGGAAACACGTAGAATAACAGTAACAATGTTAACTTATCAGACAAGCATAGTTATCTCTCATCTTTAAATATCAAAAAAGATAATTCTCTAGATATTTATGGTGTAACACTGGTTTGCCAGTAAAATTAATCTCTTTCTATTATTCCTATGTGGCACAGGAGCTTATCACATTAAGTCTCTGCTATTTATGACTGGAACCCTCAAACGTCGAAAAAATCTATCTTTTTATTTTTCCTTTCTAACATTTCCATACCATGTGAGCAATAATAATTAGTAGAATTTCACACAGAAGGGTTAAAACCTATTTTATCGAGAAATATGCGGCAAGTAGGTATGGGAACTAGAGAAGTCCTGTGGTGAACAACACACTGTTGTTGCAATTAAATGACAAAGATGATGATAATACTATATATACTATAGTTATTATAATATATAGTTATAACATTTCCACCATGTGAGTAATAATAATTAGTAGAAGCTGGACACAGAAGGGTTAAGACTTATTTTATCGAGAAATATGCAGCAAGTAGGTATGGGAACTAGGGAAGTCCTGTGGTGAACAACACACTGTTGTTGCAATTAAATGACAAAGATGATGATAATACTATATATACTATAGTTACCATAATATATAGTTACTATATAATCATATATAGAAAATATATACTTAAATACTATATATTTTCAGTGATGAAAATGCTGGAAATATAATAGCAGTGAACTTCATAGTCTTAAAACTCGCACAGACCTGAACGCTAACTTTAATTTGCAAGTTGTCCATCTTTTTTGGATTCTTCATTTTTAAATTATAATTGGAGGACTTAACTCTGGGCTAGTCTTGTATTTTAGTGCATACATTTGAACATTCTTTTGTATTTTTTTCATCTAAGAGATTTTTAATACATTGAGATTTTTTTTTTTGATGCACAGCCCTGTTCCATTAACGTAAATGAGGCTGCTAAAAACAAATGGTAGTTGGTCTGTCTTTGTGAAAAGTCTTCCATAAGTAACTGCATATGGATTTTAAATGTAAAATACCAAAGAGAATATAATGTCTGTGACTGTGAAAGCCAATCATATAGATAACTGTCTGTTTTTAGAGATTATTTGGACATTTAAGGCGATGTTGAAGGCTGGTTTCATTATTTGCATTATGGATGGCAGCTAAAATATTTACATGACAAAATATAATAGGAGGGTTGTGCTAGTGATAGACCCTCACACCTGGACTTTGGAGATCTTTCAGTGCCTCTGTTGTGTGCCGTGATACACTGGACAAGTTATTTAATCTCTGAGAAGCTCCAGTGTTTGTCTGTAAATTTGCATAATATTAATGCACTGTACTACTAATACATTATTAATGTATTAATTATGCAAGGTATTACTTACCCCCAATTATCTGCCCCCAAGGATGTCATGCAGTTTTTAATTAAGCAGTCCAGCATAGGCTAAGAACTACTGGAATGAAAAATGCTGTCCATAAGGGTGGAGAGCAGCATACGTGTCAGAAAAGGAACTTAAATAGATTTTTACTATTTTAATTATTAAGAAACAAAACTGGTCTTTGAAATGAAGGTGTCAATAGCATTTAGCATATCAACTCACTCTGTGGCATTCCTCTACTGATATCAC